GAGTGCGCTGGGAGAGACACACACACACACACACACACACACACACACACACACACACACGGAACTGCTCCGATGAAGGTCCTTGTCATGGGGTCGATCTCAGATCTCAACTGGGGCAGGGCCGCCCCACACAGCTGGTGTTCTAGGCAGTGGTTTCTACGGGGCCGGTCGCCAGGCCTTTCCCTCTCTGTGTCCAGGGCAGTTCCCACCACCGACCTTTTTGGTCTGGCAGCCAAGCACCATCAGGGGTCCTTCCACCAAGGGCACGGCCATACCTTGACACAGGGCCCCAGGAGTTGGAGCCGGAGTCAGCCAAAGGCCGCCGGGCTGGTATGGGCATCGATCCGATGCATACACAGGTGGGGCAGTGACCCACCCAAGGTCACGGAGTCAAGAGGAGTGGAGCCCAAGCCCAGAACTCCCCCTGCCCCAGCTCCATGTTTATCAGAGGGTCAGTGGCCAGCTTCCCGCATCCCACCTGTACAGCTCCCAGCTGGCTCTGGGCATGGTGCAAGGCAGAGGGCCACTGACCTCTTCCCCACCTGGGCATCCTCAGGCCCCGGGGGCCCACATGCCAGCCTGCCAGACGGGCTAAATTTAGGCTCAGAAATCAGAAATAGCTCTGACAGCGCTGAGCACTAATTAGCAGCTGCTTCTCCGTTGTGCCCACCAAGGAAACGGCACCCCAAAGAGCGAGAGAGAGGCCAGCGGCTGCCGCTCTCCCAGAATGGGGTGAAAGCCACCCTGGAATGCAGGGACAGTGCCCCAAGCACCCCACACACCAGGACTGCCATCTGGGGTGGGGCCCCAGAAGACTGGGGGGGGGGTGCCCCTCAGTAGGACACAAACACACCTGCCAGTCTCACTCTCAGCCTGAGCTGAAGCCCCAATCCACCCACCCCCCTCGCCCACCTGCCCCCATCTCCAGAGCCCGCTCTGCCAGTGCCAGGCTGCCTCTGGTCTTGGGCACCAACTGCAGCCATGCAGGGTCCTCACCCAGCCTTGCAGATTGTGCCCAGCCCCTACTGCCCCCCTTGCCCCCCTGCATGGCCTCCACCTTGGTTCTAAAGCTTTCTGTATACTTCCCATTTGATCCCCTTTACAAATTCCGGTACATAGACTTTTCTGGGTTTCCTAAAGACAATCCCGGGCTCAGGGGAGGACAGTGGGGTGGCTCGGCCCTAGGATAGGGTGCTGGGACCACCCCATCTCTTCAAAAATGAACTGCTCCTCCCTTCATGGATCAGGGGTCCCTGGCAGGACCCAAGCCAGTGGGTGGGGCGTGGCATGGGGGGGTGAGTCAGGCCAGCAGGCAGCTCCTGTGTCATGCAGGCGACGGAGACCTCACCGCCCCCACAGAGCCTGCGCTGTGCTGGGGCATCTACCAGCTCATGCAAACCTCACAACCAGCGCCCCATTGGACAGATGGGAATAGCTGAGGCCCAGAATCCTAAAGTCATGTCACCACACGGAGAGGGTGGTAAGAACACTGAGTTTCCTTTGGAAGAAGGAGCACCAAAGGAGATGGAGCGCCTGGAAAGGGGGGCCCTGAACACCCCCACACACAGGGGTCTTCTGCAGACATGCTGGCCCCACTCCCCTCCCCCATCGGAAGAACCAGGAACAGCCAGTCCCACTTCCTGCCACCCAGCACCCTCTGCTTCCTGTTGTTGCCCACACTGTGCTCTTACTCACTGGGGGAACCACCCCCCCAACACACCCTGTCTCAGGGGGAAGTGGGGCCTCTCGGCCAGCTCCCCACACACTGCTACCGTTAGTGGCATCACTGCCTCACCCTCCAGGAGAGGTTTCCAGCCCCGGGCCCTTGTTGTCCATCTGTGGAAGGGCAGGGTGGGCCGTCCTCAGGTTTGGGTGGTCTTGGTAAGGGAGCTGGAGGAAGGACAGAGGTGGAGTCTGGACACCTTCATCTCACAGGGGCCCAGGATGGAGAACCTTGGTCAACTCCAACATCACCATCGCTTTCTTCCCAGGGAGAGGGTTTTATTGAGCACTTACTGTGTGCCAGGGATTGAATCCCCTCACCAATCCCAGAAGGCCAGCACACAACCATGACTGTTGGTTACAAGTTTGGCTGAGATCGCTCAAGGTCAGCAGTTTGAAATCACCATCTGCTCATTGGGTGAAAGATGGGGTTTTCTACCCCCATTAATAGTTACCGTCTCAGAAACCCACAAGGCCAGGTCTACCCTGTCCTATGAGGTTGCTATGAGTCAGCATCCACTCAGTGGCAGTGAGTGAGTTTGCTTATTACATGTAAGGGAAACTGAAGCTCAGAGAGGTTAAGTAACTTACCTGAGGTCACGCACCTGCAAAGATGAAAACTCAAACCCTAAAATTCAAGACCCAAAAGCACATGAAGGTCACCTACTTTTCCCGAATCAACCCTGCCCAGCTCAGAGGCAGGGAGGCCTGAG